CCTCCTCCTCCTCCTTCTCCTCCCCCCCACCACACTTAGCCTCTCTCTTCCCTCTAATGGCTCCTTCGGTGCCTGACATCCAATGCTCCTCACATCCTGCAGGCCCTTACTTTCATCTTGACTTCAATGTTTACATGGAGTGATTTGAGCTCCCAGCTTCTCTAAGGTCAGGCTCTAGGCCCCTCCCGCTCTCAGGGATCATCTTTCCTTACACACTGATGAAGAATGAGTGCTTGTTTTATGTCTCTGCCCTCAGTTCACTTTGTGCAATCTCTTCCCCAGGACAGGCACCATCTTTTTTTTTAAAAAAAAAAAAAGCAAATCTATTATTTTAAAGAACATCAGCCGAAGACTGTGCATAGTGGCCTCATCTCAGAAGTCTGGGGATGACAGGGTAGATTCCATGCTTCTTACAGTGGAGGGTACATCTTGATTTCGGAGATCCTAAAACACAACAGAGTTTTGTCTTATAATCAATGAAAAAGAAGAATTTATTTGACTAAAATCTGGAGAAGAAAGTTACAGATGGTCTCATTGCCTAGCAATGCAGAAAGAAACCCAGTCCCTGGATTTGGGGAATCAGGAGTAGACCCTTTTTCCAGAATCCTTTGATCAGAACCATATAAGCCTTTTGAACTTTATTTTTTTTAAGATTTATTTATTTATTTAATGTACCTTGGGGTTTTGCCTGCATGCATGTCTGTATGAGGGTGTCAGAGCCCCTGGAACTGGAGTTACAGTTGTGAACTGCCATGTGGGTGCTGGGAATTGAACCTGGGTCCTTTGGAAGGGCAGCCAGTGCTTTTAACCCCTGAGCCATCTCTCCAGCCCTGCCTTTTGAAATTTGGAAAGAAAAAATATTTCCTTAGCCTGCTACAAATCACCACACAGAACATTGACTTTCAATGTTTCAAAAGCAGAAATTTTTGTTTAAGTTTGGGGTGTGTGTGGGGCGGGGGTTCAAACTTTCCAAATAGATACAGTGTCACAGCTCTCCATAGATTCTGGAATTGTTTGTGTATAGTCAGTCTGATCTCTTCTTAGAAGATCCCAAATCCCATCACAAGGGCCCCACTCTCATGACCTAAGTACCTCACCAAGGCTCTGCTTCCTAATACTGCTGTTTGGGGCTGAGGATAGGGAAGATGCTGCCCACTGAATCAATACAGATCTGTGTGTCCTCACCACGGTGAGGGTCTGTGTATCCACCATCCCCGGGATTCCCAAGAACACCACCTAGGTGCCTCTCTTCCTGGCCAACCTGAGCTTTTCTTCTGCACCTAATCCAGGGTTGGCCGGGAGCAAGTGTTTGCTCCCTCTGGGCTGATGGAGGCAGGGGGACAGTGGCCACTGTGGGAGACAGAGGTAGCAGCTCCTCTTAAAGGTGCTGATTTTTTGTGGGGGAGCAGTTTGTGCAAGCCAGTGGGAAGGTACCATACTAAAGAAATTCTTTTTTAAAAAAAAATGGGCATTCAAAACAAAACAAAAATAAATAAATAAATAAATAAATAAATAAATAAATAAACAAACAAACAAAAGTAACTGAATTTGCTAGAGCAATTTTGGGAAAGCCAAGCTTTTTACTCTAGGATTTCAGATGTCTGGTACAGCCTTTCTCTGTCCAGGACACTTAGTAAGAACCTGAAGCAATATTGCTATATCATTCCTACCTAGACTTCATGTGTTATGACAAATTATGATAATTTTCCATCTTCTCTTATGAAAACAGCATTTCCTTCTTGGCTAGCAAAAACCTTCAAGCACAAAACAGACAGTCTGTTCACTGTAGTGACAATGAGGTAAAAATCAGAAAGTGTAGGATGATTAAATTTGAGAAACTTGGTCCAAGTTGACTTCTGCATGCATCCTAGAGGAACTCATGGCCTTGTTCAGGTATAGCCAGACTCCCTTGCCCCAGAGTAACTGTTCCACCTTCCTACAGGTAACACACTGGCACAGTCCCTATTTCTTCGCTTACTTCCCCACGGCCAGCTCATACCCAGCCATGCTTGCAGACATGCTGTGTGGGGCTATCGGCTGCATTGGCTTCTCCTGGGTGAGTATCTCCAAGACCCTGTGGTGGAGTCTGTTCCTGCATGGGGAGGTGATCCCTTTACACATTGGACAGAAACAGGTGACTCTGTCACCTGTAGGTAGCAGGGCCGCTTTGCAGAGAGTAGAGTCTGGGCTCCAGGGAGGGAGTTTCTAAGGGAAGAGAAATTCTGAATGGAAAGTGGGAGAAGGAAGGAAGAAGGAGGGGGAGAAAGGGAGGAAAAGAGAGGGGAAGAAGGAAGGGGAAGGAAGGGGGCAGAGGGAAAGGGAGGGGAGGAGAAGAGAGGAGAGGAGAGGAGAGGAGAGGAGAGGAGAAGAGA